GTTTAACACGTTGAGTCTCACAAGGGGACTTATTAGGATAGTATAATTCCCAATCGTGCCCAAACTCGGTATATTTGCTTCTTATCTATGTAGGTGACCAATTTGAAACTCTCTATAAAAGCGTCTATTGTCGAAAAATATAAATTTCTACTTAGGTACAAATATTAAGTGATGTGCTGGCTCAAAATGAGCGAGCGGTTTTGGGGTGGTAGGTCCTCTACCACTTTTCGATTTAAAACCTCATTCCCTGATTTTTGGCCCAAATTAAATATATTTTCCATTATTTCCTCCCCGGAAGTACCCTAGAAATTGACACTCAGGAAAAAATACTACCGTCAGTCGTCATCAACATAGAGATAAGAAACAAATGTACCGAGTTTGGGCAAGATCGGGAATTCACACTCGCCTAAGAACCCTTGTCTTGTCAGGTCAGTCCGTTTTACATGCAATTGTGGCCACACGTGTGGGCATGTGGGAATCAACGTGTTGGGATCGTCCAGAAAGTGCGTACGTTTTCCTCGACAAATTGTGGGAGCCGGGCGCCTGCGAGACTCAGGGTAGGCCACCCTGCGGTGCACGCACGCACTGAACGCAAGATGTTGCCTACCTATCAGGCGCTCTGGGAGCTGGCACAAGCTTGGCTTGATAAGTTCCGTAGCATCGAATGACGGACGTGCTTTCTGGATGAGCCAAGCTTCCCTCGCCAGATCTGGCGCGGTCGAAGGGGCAACTCCGAATTCAAGTGTGCACATGATTCTCGGAATCTGTCATTCCCGTTGATTCCCATTGATTCCCGTCGTGATCCTCATTGATTTTCTTTGGTTTCCGTCGTGGTTCTCATTGATTCCCGCTGATTCCCGGTTGATTCCCGGGTCGGTGTGTACACACGATTCCCAGAGTTATTGCCCCATCGGGCGCGGTAGAAGAAAACAGAAACAGGAGGAATGTTGACCTCAGAATCGTGGTTCTCAGCATTTAGAGTATACGTGACATAATGGACCGACGTACAAGACGGTGGAGGGAGAAGGGAGGGAGAAGCGCAGCTTAGCTTATCAAGTGACCAAATAAAACACAAGGCGATCGTCGTCCTAGATTGTGATACAGCCGAATGTGCGTCGCGCGATTCGGGGAAAAGTGGGCCAAAACCGAGGTCAAAAACGGTCGGTCGACCTTGCTATCCGCGCTTGAAATTGATGGGAGCCCAGCGACGTCCGGGAAGTTCGGAGCCAAAGCGGGGCAAAGCGGAGCTTGATCCCAGAAGCGCCAGATGGGAGCTGATGGGAGCTAATCTGATTGGCTGCAGACAAAGTTGTAATCACCCTGCAAGTCCACATACGAGAAGAATTGCATCACTCGCAACGTTCGAGGCGTTCAGCGTCCATCACTGTCGCTATGCGTCCGCAATAGCGTCTGATGAAGGAAAGCTCGCTTCTTCGGGCCGGAAGTGCGCCCCGCCTCCGCCTCGGGATGTTGAGCATCTCTCTCTCTGGACGTGACCCCATGGAAGCGATGACACGCACCGCGCCAGGGGGCGAAGTTTAGCCCGCGTCGATACCATCTCCGGGGCGAGGCGCGCTGCCGCGCTGCCCTTGACCCTCACGATGCGCGCCCCGGCCCTGGTCCTGGCCCTACCCGAGGTTCACGCGGCATGTCTACCCACCCGACCAAACCCGTCCGCACCGGCCCCGACGTGCAGCGGGGAACTCACTGCTGCTGTATGGACGACGGCGCTGCTGTACCGGCGTACCGGCGTACAGGTGCGCCGGCTGGTTGCCCACCCGCACGGTGCTCCAAAGGAGTTGTAGTAGACTCTCGTAGACAAGCGAAGCGCGGTGCTGCATACATATGACGGGAGACGGTGGCGGGTGACCGCCTAGCCGCTGGTCTCTGACGGGGTGGCGCTCTGCCAGCTGCCTGCAACATGCTGCACCGCAAGCAGCTCGGGGGGCGTGGCCGATCAGCTGGCTGTATTTATCGCGGCCCCGCCACGAGCCAGCACTTTGTCCCGGAGCGCCCGCCCGCCCCGCCCCAGCCGGTTTGCGCGGCAAAACGTTCAAGTCGTCGTCGCGTGGAGTTGCCTAGTCGACCGCCGACGCTCGGAGAACTTCACCGCCCCACCCCGCCCCGCACGCCGCCACCGCTGGAGGCCTGGAGGAACAGGAATCTGACGTTATACCCGTCAGCAATGGCATGGACTGACTGCCGGTGTGCTGGGCTGGGGCAGCCCGCTCGGCAGCGTCACGCCCCTCCCCACCCTCGGCCCCAGTCCGGCCCGGACCCCAATCCGCGCACTCTTTTCTGATGTAACCAGAGGCGTGCGTTGCACTGAGGAGGGAGGCGCCCGGGGGTCTCGCTCCTTTTCCCTGGCGGATCGGCTGGGTTCCCCTTGACCGTCAGCAAAAACCAAAACACACGACGTCAAACGTCGGGACGGAAAATAAAACTACACCGGCGCTGTTCGTTCTACGAACTCGGTGCTCCGGCAGCAGGACTCAGGGGAGGGTGAGGGGGAGGGGGAGGGCGTGCCCGTGGGTTGGGTGGCGCGCCTGTTTCAGAGAAGACACCGTGACGCGGG